GACCGGATCGAGTTGCAAGTTTTTCTTTCTCTTTTTCTTTTCTCTTTTCTCTTTCTTTTTTTCTCTCTTGGATTTCTCTCTAAAGCTTTTGTGTCCGGCCTCTTTTTGAATTGAAGCTGCATGGCTATTTATGGAGAAGGATGCTGATGAATCGCCAAAGGGGACTGTCCGGACGCCCCTCCACCGTCTGAATGGTGGAGCCTTGTTGGATTTTCCCACTTGCATTATGCTGACTCTTCATGTATGGTAATTACACTTTAGCCTTTGTAGTTTCAAGCTTTTATGCATTGATCCTTGTATTCTCCGGTAATTCNTTTTTCATTTTTTCATTTTTTATCAGAATTCTTTTCTTTCTTTTGCTTTTCTGTTTTTCTATATCTTGCTGATTTAGACGAGGGTGCAAGAAAATTAGGTAGCAAAGGTAAGTTAATATCTTTTTATCTGGCTCGTGTATTATTTTTGGGTTTTAAGAAAAGAATTTATTTCCAGGCTCTATCATGGTTGACTAAGGATATAATTTTGTAAAAGAAATGGTCAAGGCTCAAGATTTAATCAAACATGGCCTAAGATCATTTTCCATAAATCATATATCTGTATAATTTCTGCATGAAAGTTAAGGATAATGCTAATAATACAATTTAATAAGTGTTAATCAAAACAAAGTTAATGAGATTATTCAAGGAAAGTTTACCGCTGAATCGAATATTTGTATTTAAGTAGATGTAGAGTATCTCTCCAAGAAAGATTGATTCAAAATCTACAATAGGTTTTATATCTTCATTATATATACAAAGAGTGTAATATTTCACAAGACTTTTAACAATAAAAAAATCTAATTGTGCTTTTAAGACTAAATTTAAACAAAAATATTAAGATAGTACACAACTAAAATATGAAAATCTTGCATGATCAGATTAAGACTATTCTTGCAAGGCATGAGAATAAAAATGTAATTTAGCTATGAATCATATGAATTATTAATTCCTAACTTAACAACATGAGTTTCAAAATTAATATAAACAAACTTAAACACACGAAAATTCAAAACAAACAAGTTTAAAACACATGAGTTCAAAAGCAAATAAGTGCAAAACATATATTAAAGTTCAAATGCATAAGTAAAAGTACATAGTTAAAAAGCTAAGTGAAAGATAGTAGAGTTTTTCAGTATAATAGTCAATTTTTTTTTAGGAAGTAGATGGCCCTCTTCCAAAACGTTCTCTCAGTAGCTTCAAGATTTTAGATTGGTTTTGTTCATAATCCTCCTTACGTTTGTTGATATTTGTGATACTGTTACCAAGCTAGGTGACAGTGGTCTCTAATCCTAGCAGAATCTGTTTGTCAGTTCTGTCATCCACCGGTATGTATGGTTGATCCTCATGTGGCTGCTGTCGTTCTGGTGGAATGAATTCTTCAGGGCCTTGGAATGGCTCCTCTTGTGATGGAGGGGGTACCTCTGGTTGTTCTTCTTGTTGTCTTCCATGACTCTTTCTCAATGAAGTTTTATCTAATGGGCTAAAATGGTCTATAGTCTTCTATGTTGGATCGATGATCACACCTTTGTTCCTACAAAGCTGAGAAACTAGCATAGCATAGGGGAGTGAAGATTTCTTTCTATCCACAGCAAGTACCATTGGATTCAGGATTAAATTCGGCAGATCAATGGTATACCCCATCCCGAATGCATATAAAACAATAAGCTTGCTCAGTGTAGATTTGATTCTTTTGGGCAGATATAACAGATACTTGTTTTATTTTTTTCATCTTTAAAGCTTCTAGTTTTTGAGATAAACTTGTCATTTTCGCTCTTAAATCATCATTTTCTTTTAATACATATTTTCCTTTTCCGGAGGTAAATGGCTTTGTTTCTACTATATTTGAAGAAGTTGAGTCTCACATTTGGGAACTCTCAGAAATAGTATCAAAAAATTGAAATGCTTCTTCAGGATTTTTACTCATGATTCCCCCTGCGCCATCATTTCAACAAATTGTTGCATTGCAGGAGGAAGAGTATCATAGAAAAAACCAACTAATGTCTAATTTTTAAATGCATGATGTGGACAGGCTTGGAGAAGATCTTTAAATCTTTTCCAACATTGATAAAAAGTTTCACCTTCTTTTACAGAAAAATTCATTATTTGACGTCTTAATGTATTGGTACGATGTATAGGAAAAAACTTTTTAAAGAACTCATCCTGTAAAGCTTGCCAATTTGTGATTGAATTAGCTCTTAAAGAACTAAGCCATTGTTTTGCTTTATCTTTTAAAGAAAAAGGAAATAGTTTTAGTCTAACCATTTCTGAATTATCTTGCAATGTTCCACATACTTCTTCAAATTCTTTCATATGAAAATAAGGGTTTTCAGTTTCTAGACTATGGACCTATGGTAATAATTGTATTGTTCCTGGCTTAATATTAAGATTTGGAGCATCTGTTGGAAAAGAAAAATATGACGGGACATTAGTTCATGTAGGGTGTAGATATTCTCTTAATGGTCGAGTATTTTGACCTACTTCTTGTTCTCTAGGTTGTTCTTTCCTAGGTACATTTCTAGTCATACTTAACTCAAATGATTCTAGTGTAGATCAAGATGAAGATGAAGATGAAGGAGATGACTGATTTATAGATCCTACGAATGAATGAACAGACATAAACTATTTAAAAAGAAAACACACTTTATATACATATAATAAATAAACAACTTTTGTATTTTATTTGATTTCAAATTACCGTAACTCCCCGGCAACAGCGCAAAAACTTGATTCGCACTTTTTTCGTGATCGAATTAATATTATACACCAAAGTATAAGTAGTCAAATTGTAATTTTCTTGGTTTTAAGTTCAAGTATCGATCCCACGAAGAGTGTATGTAATTAGGAAATAAAAAAATAATAAAGTTGTTTGTCTTAGATAGGACAGCATGTGATAGCATATGATGTGAGCTTAGATTGATAACTAGTTTAATTATGTTCCAGATAGATTTAAACAATATTAAAAGTATCCTTCAGTTCAAGGATCACATATGCGTTATATTGGTTAAATACTGGAAATGCTACCTTACAACAATCAACTTCCATGTTACTGGCAAGTTAACTGGTAGGTCTGATGTATATAAACCATCACACAGCAACTTCTTAGGTTAGCTGGTGGTATCCATGACAAATGATTAATCCAAGCAAACCAGAAGGACAAGTTATTCATGAGGAATACTTGAATTATTCATTTGTCTTCATAATAGTAGGTTCATACATAATAAACCATAACACATCCACTTCTTAGATCAATTGGTAGTATTAGTCATAACACAACAACTTCTTAGGTTAACTGGTTATAGATATGTCAATTGACTAATCTAAGCAAACCATAACGTCAAGTTATTCATGAGGAATACTTGAATTATTCAGTTGACTCTATCTGTGATACATATACTAGTTAAACATCCTCAGCGTTCCGGTGGAGGATAAACCATACTGATAGGAATGTCGTGGTTGTTAGATTGATAATACTACCATTTATACTAGTTAAACAATCTAAGTAATCAAGAAGGACAAGTTATTCATGAGGATCACTAAGGTCATTACTCGGATAGTTATATATATAGCAATTAAATAACCCTGATAATCCAGAAGGACAAGCCATTCATGAGGATCATTTAGGTTTTGTATCATGCATCAGTTAACATCCTCAGCATTCTGGTGGAGGATAAACCATACCGATAGGAATGCCATGGTTGTTTTACTGGCAGGTTGATGATGCACTGATGACATAATTCCAGGCACAACACCGAAATTATGCACATCACTATATCATGCATGAAACATATAATATATAGATATATAAATATATAAACACTAGCATCTCCAGAATTAACCAGTATTATACAAATGTTTACCTCTTACTGGAGGATATAAGTAACTACTCATGCCCCATTGTTACATACAAGCAAGGAGTGCGAGCAGTTTTCATTACAACTGAAATTAAAAGACAGACTCTAAAACGTCTTTCACAAGGAACAACTGAAACACAATCACCGTTATTATTAGTTATAAAAAAAAGGTGACGGCAGTTTAACTATTTGAATAGAAAGATACAATAGAAATGTAAAAGTACAGAGTTTGGACAGAAGTGTATGACGGATCGGATCGAGTTGCAAGTTTTTCTTTTCTCTTTATTTTTTTCGCTCTTGGATTTTTCTCTAAAGCTCTTGTGTCCGACCTCTTTTTGAATTGAAGTTGCATGACTATTTATAGAGGATAATGGAGGAGGATGCTGATGAGCCGCTAAAGGGGACCGTCCAGATGCCCCTCCACAGTCCGGACGGTGGAGCCTTGCTGGATTTTTCCACTTGCGTTATGCTAACTCTTCATATGTGGTAATTACACTTTAGCCTTTGTAGTTTCAAGCTTTTATGCATTGCTCCTTGTATTCTCCGGTAATTCAAAATTTAACCCTGAAAATTTTAAATATAATGCACATAAAACCCTAATTATGCACAAACTCTAATTGACTCTAATTAATAGTTTTTAGTTATTTTATCACACTAATTCGACTTTATTAACTATTCTAATTTATATATTAATTAAGGTTAATCGACCCATTTAGGGCCAGTCTCTCGGGAACCAGCGACAGGTGCCCGAGAACCCGACATATGGACCCAGGTATCAAAAACCTCAAGCCTGCCTCCAATATGCCCTCATAAAGGACAATCTCGTCGAAGGAATCGTAGCATGCTGACTCATCGGTCTCGGCACGACAACACGTCACAGAAGGTGGAATGCAACATAAGGAAACTATGGCTACAATATCTTCATCACAATCAGGGGAGATAAGTATAGAGGCTACCTTAGAGCCATTGCCTCTATCAGTACCCGGGCCTCCGTCGGAGTCCCAAGTAATCTCCCGCTCGCCTGGATGAACACCCACCAAAAACAAAGTTATGTCATTGCTAAAGAAAATGCTCATACCAACAAAGGAGTAAATATGAGCTCCCAATGACATACTATGAGTGCTCAGTCTGCTCAAGTCACTGCCTAGCTGCTTCCTCGCGCTACCCAAGGTGCCACTAAACTTGCTTGCATGCTTCTTGAAGCTGCCCATCACACTCGAGTCACCACCATGGTCTGGAGGAAGAGACTCAACACCTTGAGCGATATTTTCATCACTGGCCTCACGAAAGAAGGCTTGAACCACACCTAAGAGGGAGTCGCCCAAGCTCTTGGCGCCGCCCATGGGGATGGAATCCCCTGTTTCTCCTGCCCCTCCATCTCATCCAATCTCTCCAGCATAGTCGACGCCCAAACAGCTGAAGCCTCCACCTGACAAGGCATCGCCCTCACCTTGGTTGCCCATTTGGGTGCTGCCCGTAGCAACCTTGGCGCCACCCATGGGCTCTCCCATGCCTTACGGTCTACCATCGCCTCTCCCTTCCTCACCAAAGGCACCACGCTCCATGGCTCCACTNGTCCTCACCTTGGTCGCCCATTTGGGTGCTGCCCGTAGCAACCTTGGCGCCACCCATGGGCTCTCCCATGCCTTAAGGTCTACCATCGCCTCTCCCTTCCTCACCAAAGGCACCACGCTCCATGGCTCCACTGCCTGCTATACTCTCGGTGTCGCCCACACCATGGCTGCCCCTTAGGACATCGCCCACTTCACCACCAACGCCGCCCAAGGCACTAATACCCACTCTTGAGCTCTTCGTCATCTCGCCAACGTTATCCACCTTCTTTGAACTCCTCGTCTCCATAGGTTTGTTATGACTTGGGGAAGAAAAGATTAAAGGAGAGAAATGGAAGTGAGGAACACTAACCACTTGAAGAGGCCGTTAAATAGAGGAAGAATGGCTTCTTGAGAAAGCCTTGCTGAAGTAGCTTATTGGAGAAGCTTTTTGAATAGTTTCTTGAAGAATCTTAATTGAATAGCTTCTTGGAGAAGCTTGGAGGGATAGCTTCTAAGAGAAGCCTCTACAAATAAGAAATGAAAATAGAAATGAGGAGGGAGAGACTAGGGACCTCTATTTATAGACGAACACCCACCAAGAGCAATTCGAAAAAAAAATTGTCTGATGTCAATAAACTCAACAGAGTCCCTGAAGATGAATAAGCATCGTGGAGAGCAAGAAAACTCCTGCTCACTCAAGTGAAGAAGAAGAACACGCCCTTAATCCCTTCCTCTAGCAAAAAGTTAGAGGCTTGGGATATGGGGGCAAATGATGAGCCCAAAATCAATTGGGCTAGGCCTAATAAACCAAAAAGGGCCTAAGTCACCAGCGTCCAAGAAGAGCCCAAGTCACCAGTGCCCAAATGGGGGTCACCCAAGCAGTTGGCGCCGCCCAGGCCATGGGTGCCGCCCATGAGGGGCCCTCTTGCCTCTCCTTCAGTCCTCCTCGCTTTGCCACTCTGACCCAGTCTGACCCGACTCAGGATCCAGGAAGTCCAAGGGAATAGGAGCACGTGGGAGAGAATATCGGGATACGGAGATCTAATCCTACCTTAATTGTACTTACCAAAATAGTAGTGACCGCCTTACCTCACTGCCTTACCATACCTATATAATGTAAGCCCTCTCCACATAGAGGGGATGACCTTGAGACCTCTACACCTTGCCACCTCTCTACACACCAAGTCTCTCTCTCTCTCCCAAAGCATTGTAATTCTCTCAGAACATACTCTCCCGGTTACTTTATTCATCAATAAATACCTCCGTCCACCGTTGTCGTTTCTCGAGAGTGAAGTAGGTCACCCACCCCGAACCACTATATATCTGTGTATTGACTCTATATTTACTATTTTGCCATTGATTGCCTATTTGTTGCTCATTAATTGTATCTCTTCATATATTCGATTGTTGATCTTGCACGATACCAATTTGTGCATCATTAGTAAGAATTGAATTTGGATTTGATTAGAATCTAGCTGAAAAGTCACTGAATTTTGTCCACTTGAGAGAGAGAGACACACACACACACACACAAAGAAGTGAACTGTGAACAGTTGTAAGGGTAAGGGTAAAGTGTAGAGGTAAGTGACACATGGTGAGTTATAATACATCCAGATGTATAGTGACTAACTGAGAGTGTGAGAGGAAATTTGGACGAGAATCTAAAATTTGATAAGTAAATATTAACTTTTGGATCATATTTAAACAAATTTAGAAATTATCTTAACTGCATAAAGTAAAAAATATTTTGTTTATCTTTTAGGATTTAAATTGTCTTGTACTTTATTATATAAATACTAGTGATAATCTGTGTTTGAAGGCACTATGTGATTCAAAAAAAAAAATTAACATGGATCATGAAAAAATTAAGCACTAAACTTAGGTGGTGTTTGATCAAACTGAAAGCTAAATACTGAATGTTGAATTTTAAGTGTTGAATACTAATTTTTTTAATTTGTAGACTATTTGGTATTAACTAAAATTTAAGTATTGAATTTAATTAAATTGTTTGACAAATAAGGAGCTGAAGTCTGAAAATTATTGTTATTCTACTTTTTTCCTTCTCTTTAACCATTTCTCCGTAATTGTTTTATTCCTATCACCACCATCACAATGGTGGTGGTAGTGGTGGCGGCGACGATAGTGGTGGTGGTGGTGATGATGGTAACATAATAGTGGGTTGCATCTCACTAGGTTCTGCTTCACCAAAAGAGTTGCAAGAAACATAAAGTAATGCATAAGCCTTTCACTAAAATATGAAGAGAAAAAAAAACCATAAACTTGGATCCAAGCCTAAATAAAGGGCTTCTTCTCCCTTCTAGACTCTTAGTGATATGAGATTTTGAACCTATCAAGTCTTGCTTCTTGTTTAGGAGGTTGAGTTCTTCGATTATTTGTTCTTCCAGTAGGGATTTGGAAGTATAAGTAGCAGATTCAGGTTTGGAGCCTTGCCATTGCAAAGGAATAGGGGAGAGGGAGTTTCAGTTGGGGGAGAGAGAGTGATAGGAGATATGAGGGGAGAGTGAGAGGAGAACATAGGGGGTTTAATGGCATTTTTTATAAGGTAGAATTTTGTCAAACACCTTATGTCCATGCCTGAATTTCCAGAGAATCCCTCCAATTTCTTGACCTTTTTAGTTCATCAATATTTTTTTCATAAATCTGTTGAATCCCTCTCAAATCCAAAAAGAATTCCTCAAGAAATGCTAACCCAATAACCCTCTTCAACAATAATACACAAACTCAAAGCAACCAATTTTTTGGTTTCAATCCCAAAATTTTTATTTTATTCCAAAAGCCAAATCAACTTTTAGCAAACCTATGTGTTGTGTGTGTGTGTGTGAGAGTGAGAGAGAGAGAGAGAGAGCATTAGATTGTGTGTAGCGAGTGCTCGAGAGACAGAGAGAGGGAGTATGAGCGGGCATGTGTTGCTACATGTTCTATGTGTGCATGTGAGTGTGCTATGTGCGTGCTTGAGATAAAATGAGGAAGAGAGAGACAGAGAAAAAGGGAGTAAGGAAGGGGATCTATTGGTTTGTCGAATTTGTGCGGATCTATTTGTGAGTGTGTGCAAAACAATGTGTGGGTGTCGGTTTTTGTGAGTGTGTATATGTGGTGTGTGTGTGTGAGTTACAGGGGGTTTTGTGTGTGTTGAGGTGGAGGATTAGACCAAAGGGCGAGAGAGGTGGATCGAGTGGGTGATGATTGCGTGAGAGAGAAAAAGATGGAGTACTTGGATGGCATTGGTAGCAATAGTTGGAGCTGGCGTGGATGGCTGCTCCAACGAAGAGAGGGAGTACCTGTGTGTGACAGTGTGCTTTGTGTGTGTGTTTGGGGGGGGGGGGGGGGG